ACGGAAAAATGAAATCCCGTACGGTGTGAGGACAGTGCTTGGTACTCGTAATCCTGAACCCGATATGGTGCGGGCAAGTCGTCGTTAAAGGATGGGCGTTTGGGAGAGCTTGTTGTCGTCTCGGAAATGAAATTCAAACTGCTAGAAAAACCCATCCGGTGGTGTGGTAGGTGACACAAAGCGGTACATAGCTATCCGGGTTTTGTTGTACGATTGCACCTTCGAACAACTACGTTCGCATGGCCAAAGCTGAAAATCACACCGTGGAAAACGGATACCTAACCTCACGGTCTCGACTTCCTCTCGGCAGCTAGACACTTCTTGAGGTGACGAACAACAGAAGGCTCGATGGGAAACTTTAGGGAAAATTTTCTCACGCTGGTGTGAAAACCTCGTCGCTATTCATCTAGAGAAAATATGGTCAAGGGATGTATCTCCGGTATCGCCGGTACGGCGCACTAATGCACACAAGACAATGAACCAGACCGCGCGTTGTACGCGTGCAACACGGGTCCGCAGTACATAGCGGCGACTGGGATACACCCACATTGGAAGAAAGTATTCAGCCATTCTCATGTGGCTTTAGCCCCTTTAGGGCTAGATCGCATTTTGGGGACACTTGTTGTCCCCATCTTCTCCACTTGCTTTACCTCGTGAAGAATGGCACGATTCCTCCTTTGAACTACTCGACCAGGGGGGTACCAGGGAACACGGGGACGACTGATGTTTAGTATGGATGCTTTGTAGAGTGGAGGAGTATGAGGGTAATGAACAGGTCGAATCGGGGGGCGATTACGCCGTGGGTTCAACAGCGAAGTTGCGCCGCGTCTGCCTACCCTCGGGTGGAAAGCGCTACTAGGGGCAAGCGCGGAAGAAGTACCCAGCCCACCGTTGATAGGAGGCACCGGCCAACCTAGGGCTTGGGTTAGAAGGTCTCGCTTTCCCTCTAGAGAAATTTCTTGAAAACCTCCTTCTCGTGCCCCGTTTACCACGCTCCCGCCAGTTGCTGTCTATAATCCCGATCAAATGTCCCCTCGAATCGAGGGGACATTTGATAGGGATTATAGACAAGAGACGGCTCAAGTGGGAAGGGCAGGTTTGCACTTGCACCCAGGGATGGAACTGTCTGCACCATGCAATCAGCAGGCGTCGTTCGCTCTTTTTTACATTTCAGAAATTTCGCAAGAACGNTCCCGATCAAATGTCCCCTCGAATCGAGGGGACATTTGATAGGGATTATAGACAAGAGACGGCTCAAGTGGGAAGGGCAGGTTTGCACTTGCACCCAGGGATGGAACTGTCTGCACCATGCAATCAGCAGGCGTCGTTCGCTCTTTTTTACATTTCAGAAATTTCGCAAGAACGCCGAATTTTCTGTGTTTGGTAAGGGGGTTATCAAGCTTCCACGAGGTGAAAAGCGATGAAAAGTAGTAGATACAGTTCGCACCTTTTGGCTGCCGCTCGTCTTCTCTGCGAACCTCTCCTGGCCGAGGGTTCGGATGTCGATGGTCTCCCCTCCGAGCTGCTTCTAAACTGTTGGATCGTATCTGCCATCTGCCCCCCCAAAGTTGAGACGTTGGCAGCCAGAGGTGAACGGGGTCACATTAAGACCTTCAAAGCGGCAGGAGTACCTCAGTGTTCGTTCGAAAGATCGCCGTTCGAAACGGCAACCACCCTTCGCGCGTTGCGTAGCCAGTCTGCAAGTGATAATGTGGATCGACTCAATGCAATGACGTCGTCGTTGCTCAGGGCGCAGCAAGAACGAGTTTCTCGCCCGACGATGGTTCTGTTTTTTTTGTTCGGAAGGAGAGTAGATCGATCTCGTAGAATAATTGACATCAATGATGCCTGTGCGATCATTATCGCGGAACGTCCACAGATAGGACTGATCTGGTTGCGTGCGTCTGTGCGTGTCGAGGGGTAACATGCACCATCTGCCCCAATTCGGTCTCAAGAACCGCTTTCGGAGGTGTGCGCAGGGTGGCATCAGAACCAAGAAAGATAGATACTGCGCGTGTATTCGAGGAAAAAAACCTTCTTGTGTTAAGCCTCCGAAAACATCACCTCATGTTTGCCCAACCCAAGCTCAAAAGCAACACGAAATCGGTAGGGTATGCGTCATGATTTCACTGGTACTTTGCATCGGACATCATTGTTAGTACGTTGCTAAGGCGGGAGGTTGATTCTCACCAGAAACGAACCCGTCCCTTTTTTCAGAGCGTCTTCCTTCTCCAAAAGGGTTCGTTTTACCGCCTCGAAGTTTCCCTGAATGTTGGCATCCGACACGAAAAATGGAGGAAAAAAACAAGCAGCAGCCGCCACAAGAATAACGGCTGGCGTGAAGCACACGTTCGCAAATTGTAGCGAGGGTCACAAGCTCTCATCTCGCGGCAACGCGTGCAGACAACAGCAAGCAACGATTACGTTATCGTATAACGTTCTTGCCGGTTAACTCGCATCGTCCTAACTAACTTCCACAAGGTTGCAAGAGTACGCACCTTGCCGACAGTGTAGCGGTAGGCCTCGTGGTGGTTCATCCCGACGAATGCAGGGTCATACGCCCAGAGATGCTCTTGATTTCTCTCTATGAACGGCTGTAGAAACGCTTTGAAGCCGCCCGGTGAAGGCCAGTACCTGTTCGGTGGTACTTCGGCGTCCCCCGCCATGCTGTCCTGGAGACTGAAACAAATAGTTTTCAAGATGCAAAATGATGTCCGTCCGTGAACCGGTTGAAACGTTCCCTGCCTTTGCTCGTTTTGTTGCTGCCGATACTGTTTTTCACCTCCCAGTACGGTTACGGTCTCTTCTGTATAGACAGTGTAGTTCTTGATGAAATAGGGAGGGGGGGTCGGTATAGGGATTCTAAGGCATGGAGGAACCACCTGAACTCCTCATCCCGACGTGAATTTGTACTGTAGTTGCTCAAATAGAATCAATGTTCGTGGAGAAATCCTGGAAACATGTGAGTGCCAATTTCGCATGTATTTGGCCTGCACCTTCGATCGAAATGATTGTTTTGTGACGCTCGTGCGTTGTTGGTCCTACTATTAGGACCAGGCGACGTCTGCTGCCTTCGTGGACCCTCCTCGCGCAGAAAAATTGGCTGCTGATGCTGCTCTTGTTGTATAAGTTGCCTCCGTCTTCTGCTGCTGCTCCCATCCCCATCTGTTACCCGTAGACCGACCCCTTTGGCAATGGGCGCAGCTGTTGTTGTGTCTAATCCACCATGGGCAACGACGGTCCCTCGCCTCCTCCCCCCACCCGTGGTCGACGGCCCCAGTTGCCCAACTCCTTCTTCTGTCGCTGCCTGGGCGCGGCTGCTAGTGTTAGGGGTAGGCCTAATACTTGCATCACGACGCCTCTGCTGCTGCTGTCGTTGTGGCGAAGCGTCAGAGGTTGTGGGCCGTCTGTGGTTTTCAACGCCCATCACGGGTGCCGGTTCAGGGCATCCCCCATCGGCGTTCACGGGAATTGTCATGGCCGCTCCTTGGACTACTCCCCCCCCGACCGTAGTGTGGGGTTGGCGCATGATCGTCGCATCGGCTGTATGCGGACGCAACAGCTCAATTTGCTGCTGGTGTCGTCGCTGATGTAGACCACCAATCCCACCCACACCACCTACGTCGCCGTTGCGATTCGTGGACACTGGCGAATATATTCTGCACACTTTCTTTGCCAGCTTCGCGGTGGTGATGGGGCGGGGTCGCGGTGCGCCGGGGCAGTCGAGGGACGCGACAATCGTTGCCTCGACCTCGCCGTAGCCATTTGTCGGCACGGCCTTGGAAAACTCCGAAGAACCAAGAGAATTTTGTTGCTCCCTTCCATACAGACCCATCTGGAGAGGATCTGCGTCTTGTTTTGAAATGCGTCGATGCAGTGAATCCGCTTTTCTCAGAGCTGTGAGTTTGGACTCGACAAGCACCCCACGAATGCAGGGGTCCAGCACACCAAAGCCCAGGAATTACGTGCGGTCACGCGAAACACACGTGCGTGGCGGGGCAGGTACATAGGTTGGCATGAGCGTGGGCAGGCCACCTATTTGCCTATTTGTCATTGATCGTGCCGCCTGCTGATTAGTCTATGCCGCCTTGCTCCCGAATCGACACAAATCTCTCCGCATGACTCAAAATGTTTGAATCTGTGCTCCTGTGCTCTAGTGCACGCGTAGTGCCCTCTCAAACCTGACGTTCTTGTCACCTGTCGGCTGTCTTCCTGCATACAAATATGAATGACCCTTCCCTGCGACTAGAGGTATCGCGGATCAAAGGCAGTGATGATCTTCCCGTGGTGAGAGCCTTGTGCAGCACACCACCTCCTCAAGGCACCGAAATCCTATCCCGAGTTCCTCGGAGCGTAGTACCCATTGGCTGCCAAACCGCTTCCCAACCATCCGCTTACTTCTCTGTTCACCTTGTGTTTCACACCAGCCGCCAATCCCGCAGCCGCCGGAGTTCTCCAACAGCGTTATTCCGATGAGGGGAAAACTGAAGCATATACAGGCCTACATCACGTCTCTCGAGTGAGCTCATGCTCCGTCTGCTCAGCTATTACTGAAACCTCACAGATGCATTGGTTTCTGCGTAAGGGCGTAGCACTGGTAGCAACTTGTTGTCGCCTTGCACTTACACGTCGTAGAAGCCACTACTCATCAACTGCGCATGTATTGGTGACTAGATGCCTTCACCAGCCTAACACGCCCCGAGCAGTAGCAACTTGTTGTCGCCTTGCACTTACACGTCGTAGAAGCCACTACTCATCAACTGCGCATATGTTGGTGACAGTAGCAACTTGTTGTCGCCTTGCACTTACACGTCGTAGAAGCCACTACTCATCAACTGCGCATATGTTGGTGACTAGATGCCGTCACCAGCCTAACATGCCCCGGGCAGTCGGCTGCGGCAGATAGATGTGAATCATTGGTAGCGATCTCTCTGTGAGATACTGTAAAAGGATTATAAAGCCCGTGCGTACAATCTGATCCATAGACTTGTAGTCTAGTGATGTTGAAGTGGTTCGTTGTATCATCCCACGCAATGAACTGCGAACAAGAGGCGCGCAATCAAGTACATCGAGAGGCGAACGTAGCCCGAAAATGTACACTATTCATGGAAACCAATATATCACGTCACCCCAGGTACAACTACACGGGCGAAGCCTTCTTCGTGAAAAAGAAGGACCGCGGGTTCAGACACGTGACGTCCACAGCCAAGCAGATTATCCGCGAGGCGCTGCCGATCCAATGCGTCGAGGCCGTCTTTGTCGGGGCGTACCTTACGGCGGACATGGCTGAGGCAGGTCCTCTATTTTTTCAAACCCTAGCAGACTCGTCCACACTGTCTCCATATTTACGTCGCTTTCTTCTGCCGGGTTACATGGTGGGTGTGAGTCACTACACCCCATGCTCTGTGATCCTGTATGAACCCCTTTACTGCGGAAAAGCAACCCGCAGGTGCTGAATACCAAAAATGTAGAAGTCGGTACCCATTCGTTCCCAACCCCCGAAAAGTCGTTGCTCCCTGCGTTGATCACAGCCGTTCTTTACAAACCCCTTCTGCCCCTCTCTGCGCGACAACCTGAAATGTGTATCACCGACCACAGGTCGATCGTTTTCCTGTATGCTTCCGATCGTCTCTGGATGGGCGCGTGTACAGGCACATTGTCTTAGCCGTGCGCAGTGGGGGGAAGTGGGGTTCTCTGGGTCTGAGTCGCCGCGACACGCTCATGTACAAGGAACTGAAGTGAGTCATTGCCTTGTACGACAAGAGGTGGGTAGATTGCCCCTGCCCTAACGGGTACTCTAACTTGTACGGCATGATTCTCCAACAAGATCGACAAGGTTTCTCCGGTAGTACTGATGGCTTATGTCCACACACACAGGATATCAACTTCACATCGACGCACCATGCCACGCATGGGCACGCATGTTGCAGGTACGAGCTGTTTTCGAAGCTTGTTGGTGACTTCAGGGAATCGTACGCTAGCAACTGGCACCGCCTGGAACAGGTCTGGGTAGGTTTCCCTCTTCCTCATGACATTTCTTCCAACGTGGCCGTCAAGTGGAAGGTATTGGTGGTGTGAGTTTTCTTGCATGTGTCCCTGAGCTGTTGGGACAGATGACATGAATTCAAAACATTGAAAACAATTCACGGACGGTACAAATCTGGCACCAGACCTGCGACTCGGTTCCACTTGCGGGGGGTTGATACTGTATTTTCGAGTGAGCGAATCTTCAAATATGAACCACAGCGTCAAAGTTTCGTCCGTTGGCACGGTGACAACCACGCCGCAAGCCGTCGGGTACATCAGCGAGAAGTGGTCACGCGACTTGTTTTTCCTTGTTCCAACCTATGGCGACTGTATTTACGTGTTGACACGAGACCCCCACAAGCTAGCGCCAAACTGCCTGCCATAAACAGTCATCAGCACCTGTGCTGTTTTCACTGGTCCAGGTGATGCGAGCAAACGTCGGAACGGATCCGGAATGGTCGTCAGCCGCAGAAGATCTCAACCGTTTCGTTGCCTGCGCGAACAGCCTTTTCGAGAGCTTCACTACCACCGGAAAGCTTCCCGATCACCCTCTCCTCAGCAACAACACCGACACCAGCACCAGCAGCAACAACAACTTATCACCCTCAGCAGCAACCAGCAGCGGCAACGGTGAGGAAGAACGTGGTACGGGATGGAAGGGAGATTCGACCGATCCAAGAGGGTCCCCGGGTGGACAATCGCCGGGTGTCAGGTCTCCAGGTTTTCCGCCGTGCTGGCTCGCACCCGAGGGCAGCCGAGGCAGGCGCGGGGGGCGGTGGAGTCGACGCGCGAGCACGCCTCTTAGACCTGCAAAAAGTGGAGGAGGAGGGAAGGAAAACGGTGGGATCGTAAGGCGTGGCGGAGCCGGGGGCGGGAGCACCGGGGGCGCCGCCGCCAGCTCGGGGGGTTCGGATGACCCCAACCTTGTCGCCTCGCCTCCACGGCCGAGATCCAGGTCGGTCGTCGTTATCGGTGGCCGCGGCGCAAGGAGAACGGCGGTGAGAGGCAGAGGGACTGGAGCCGGTGGGTCTCCAGGCAAGTCTAGGCGGTGCATGTCCAAGAGTAACAACAAAGACAAAGATGACAAGCCGAATTGCGATGCCACCGATGCGGCTGATGCTGCCGCCGCCGGTGGTGTTGCTAATGATGATGGTGTTGCCGCTGTTCCGCATAGTGGAGAGGGGGAAGCAGCCTCGAACGAGCTATCGCCACCCCCGAAGCCGCTACCAGTTTAGTAGCAATGGTTGGTTGAGCTTGTCGTGTTCTTCTCAGCCGAGGGTGTCCCGCAGAGTAAATTTGTTGTGGTTGATGCGAAGACGAACAGTAGATAGCGTGATGCGTGGGGAAGTGGTGTGGTAGACAGCTGCGGGGGATTGTTCTTGGCCAACCCTTCTCCTTGTTTTTCCTGGGTATGTCAGTATTCAGCTTTTATTCTTCGCGAAGTGTTGTGTTGTTGTCATTGTTGCCTTACACATCGTTCCGACGTCTGCGTAGTATATTTTCCAACATTTCAATTCCAATGGTCCAACAAACGCGTGATCATAGGCTTACGGCCCCCAAACGGGTACATTGTTCACATGAGAGAAAAAAAGACCAGGATACCAACGCACACGCGACTACAACAAAAAACAAGACATACAAGCCCCCAGGCGGTCAGACATTGCAGCTGTCATGTCAGACGAAACATGGTAGATCGATAGGCAGCGCTTATC